GCAAAAATTCCCATATTTGGGACAACTATATAGTCGACTATAGAGTCAACTATAGTGTCGACTATAGAGTCAACTATAGTGTCGACTATAGAGTCGACTATAGAGTCAACTATAGTGTCGACTATAGAGTCAACTGTAGTGTCGACTATAGAGTCAACTATAGTGTCGACTATAGAGTCGACTATAGCGTCGACTATAGAGTCGACTATAGCGTCGACTATAGAGTCGACTATAGCGTCGACTATAGAGTCGACTATAGAGTCGACTATAGAGTCGACTATAAAGTCGACTATAGAGTCGACTATAGAGTCGACTATAGAGTCGACTATAAAGTCGACTATAGAGTCGACTATAGAGTCGACTATAGAGTCGACTATAGAGTCGACTATAGAGTCGACTATAGAGTCGACTATAGAGTCGACTATAGAGTCGACTATAGAATCGACTATAGAGTCGACTATAGAGTCGACTATAGAATCGACTATAGAGTCGACTATAGAGTCGACTATAGAGTCGACTATAGAATCGACTATAGAGTCGACTATAGAGTCGACTATAGAGTCGACTATAGATTTTTCGAAAATGTTCTAGAGTCGACTATAGTGTCGACTATAGAGTCGACTATAGAATCGACTATAGAGTCGACTATAGATTTTTCGAAAATGTTCTATAAAAAGTTTTTCTTTTTATATTAAAAAAATCTCTTTTAATAAAGAATTTTTTAAAAAATTATCTTTTTCTTATCTTTTTTCGAAAAATGTCTCTTTTTATAGAGACTTTCAAAAAAAAAAATATCTCTTTTTATAGAAAATTTTCAAAAAAACTCTCTTTTTATAGAAATTTTTCGAAAAGTTTCTCATTTTATAAAGAATTTTTAAAAAGTTTCACTTTTTATAAAGAATTTTCAAACAAATTTCTCTTTTTATAAAGAATTTTCGAAAAATTTCTCTTTTTATAAAAAAAAAAACTCGAAAAATTTCTCTTTTTATAGAGAATTTTCAAAAAATTTCTCGTTTTGAAGAAAATTTAAAAAATATCTCTTTTTATAGAAAAATTTTGAAATTTTTCTCTTTTTTAAGAAAAATTTAGAAAAATTTTCTCCTTTTGCAGAAAATTTTCAAAAAATTTCTCTTTTTATAAAAAATTTCCGAAAAATATCTCTTTTTACAGAAAATTTTCGAAAAATTCCTCTCTTTTTTTGAAAATGTTTCTTTATAGAGAATTTTGGAAAAATCTTTTTATAGAAAATTTTCTCTTTTTATGAAGAATTTTCTCTTTTTATAGAGAGTTTTCGAAAACTTTAATTTTTTATCTTGATTTTTTGTCCAACCATATTTAGCACTTCAAAGTTTAGCTATTTTAAATTTAAACTTCTTTTTATATGTTTTATATATGTATATATAATTAAATAGATTTTACAAACATTTTTTTAACATGAAATAAATACAAAATAAATTTATTACTTTTTGTTTAATTAATATTTAAAGAACTTTATAAGTAGAGGGCAAAAAATAGGACAGAGAAAACTCAAATAATAATACCAGCAATTTGTCTAGGCTTGAGTATTATTACATTTGTAATGTTACATTTTGTTTATATTTTATATTGTTAATAATTTCTAAACTTTCATATGATTTATGTATTTATACCAAACACCATAATTCTTCTATTAAATTTATTGTTGTTAAGTTTTTGTTTTTTTTTAAATATTTATTACTTCAAACGTTTTAAAATGCAGAAAAATAATATTTAATGCATTTTCATTATTGCGGGAGCGCCATTATGTGTTTTCTATAAACAAAAATAGGAATTGTATTGTTTATTTAACGTTTAGTGTCAAAAGGGTTTTTGTTATATCAATTGGATTCTTTTTGAACAATTATTATAATTGTTCTGTTTTAGCTTTTACTCTCCGAGTATTTAAGAGGAGTTTTAGTTTTTTTAATCAAATTGCCAGCGCTTATGTTGTTGGTCCTTCTACTGTTGCTGCTGTTAAAACCCTTAACTAGTGCGTTTCTAAAAATTTTCCTTTTTATACTTTTTTGTGTTTTATTTAAATGTTTTTGCGAGTTTTAAAGCAAATCTTTATGTTTGTTTGTAATACATGTAATGTAAGAACGTTTAAATATTTTGTTTGTTTTTTGTTTTATAATTTTCAAATATCAAAATGTTTTAATTTTATTTGTTAAATTTTCTTTTATTTTTATAACTACAAAGATTACATGTTTTTAATGTTTTCTTTTCTATATAGGAGACTTGGGTTTTTATTCATTTTTTTCTCTTGTCTAGAAATATTTTTAAAGAGAAAAGCATTTAGTGTAAAATAAAAAACATAATAAATGATGTGTTTATGGTTAAATTTTGCTCGATTCTTTTAAGTTTTCTGGTAACAATTTTAAGAAAAGTGTGATATTTCTGATATAAATAGAAATATTTTCAAAAATTTAAGAAATAGAGAATTTAAAAATTGTTAAAAGTGAAATTTTTCAAAAAATTTCTAAGAAATGATAAATTTTCCCCAAAAAAAAAACTTTTTCTACAAATTTCCATAAAAAATCAAATTTTTTGGAATATTTTCTAAAGAAAAGAAAAATGTTCCGAATGTTTTCTATAAAAAAGATAAATTTTATGGAGAAAAGAATAAAATTAGAAAATTTTCTCGAAATTTTTCTATAAAATATGTAAAATTTCTTTAAAATAAATTTTCGGAGAATTTCTTTATAGAGAGAAATTTCTATTTTCCGAAAATTTTCTATAAAATTAAAATGAATTTTTTCGACAATTTTCTATAAAAAGAAGATAAATTGTTTATGAAAAGAATAGAAATTTTTTATAAAAAGAATAGAAATTTTCTATAAAAAGAATAGAAATTTTCTATTAAAATAATAGAAATTTTTCTATAAAAATAATAGCAATTTTCTGAAAATTTTCTATAAAAAATATAGAAGTTATCCGAAATTTTTCTATAAAAAGAATAGAAATTTTCAGAAAAATTTTTTTAAAGAGAATTGTAAATAGAAATTTTCTATAAAATGAATAGAAATTTTCCGAAAATTTTCTATAAAATGAATAGAAATTTTCCGAAAATTTTCTATAAAAAGAATAGAAATTTTCCGAAAATTTTCTATAAAAAGAATAGAAATTTTCCGAAAATTTTCTATAAAAAGAATAGAAATTTTCCGAAAATTTTCTATAAAAAGAATAGAAATTTTCCGAAAATTTTCTATAAAAAGAATAGAAATTTTCCGAAAATTTTCTATAAAAAGAATAGAAATCTTCGGAAAATTTTCTATAAAAAGAATAGAAATCTTCGGAAAATTTTCTATAAAAAGAATAGAAATCTTCGGAAAATTTTCTATAAAAAGAATAGAAATTTTCGGAAAATTTTCTATAAAAAGAATAGAAATTTTCGGAAAATTTTCTATAAAAAGAGTAGAAATTTTCGGAAAATTTTCTATAAAAAGAGTAGAAATTTTCGGAAAATTTTCTATAAAAAGAGTAAAAATTTTCGGAAAATTTTCTATAAAAAGAATAGAAATTTTCGGAAAATTTTCTATAAAAAGAATAGAAATTTTCGGAAAATTTTCTATAAAAAGAATAGAAATTTTCCGAAAATTTTCTATAAAAAGAATAGAAATTTTCCGAAAATTTTCTATAAAAAGAATAGAAATTTTCCGAAAATTTTCTATAAAAAGAATAGAAATTTTCCGAAAATTTTCTATAAAAAGAATAGAAATTTTCCGAAAATTTTCTATAAAAATAATAGAAATTATCCGAAAATTTTCTTTAAAGAGAATAGAAATTTTCCGAAAATTTTCTTTAAAGAGAATAGAAATTTTCCGAAAATTTTCTTTAAAGAGAATAGAAATTTTCCGAAAATTTTCTTTAAAAAGAATAGAACTTTTCCGAAAATTTTCTATAAAAATAATAGAAATTTTCTATAAAAATAGAGAAGTTTTCTGAAATTTTTCTTAAAAAGAATAGAAATTTTCCGAACATTTTCTTTAAAAAGGATAGAAATTTTCCGAAAATTTTCTATAAAAAATAGAGAAATTTTGTATAAAAAATAGACATTTTCCGAAAATTTTCTATAAAAAATAGATAAGTTTTCCGAAAATTTTATGTAAAGAAGAAGAGAAATTTAATGAAAATTTTGTATAAACAAAGAGAAAATGTTCAAAATAGTTTCTATTAAAAAATTTCGAAAATTTTCTATAAAAAAAAGAAATTTTCTATAAAAAAGTTCCAATAATTTTGCGTTAAAAAATTTAGAGAATTGACAATTCTTAAGCTTCATCAACTTTTCAAAGCAAAATTCAGTAGAATCCTTTAAACCATAAAATGTTTTATTCTGCCTTTAAAACTTCAGTCCAAAATTTTATTTAACCTTAAAAACATCGTTAAATATAAAAACAAAAAACTTTATATTGAAAAAAATTTTGTAGGTATAGGATAAATACAAATTTATAAATACTAGAGCAAAATTTGTTTATTATTAATTTTTTTAATGATTTTAATTAATAATTTATGTATTTCTGTTATATATTTATATAAAAAATTAACGATTTTTATTTAATATTTATTATTATTTATTTATATATACAAAAAGTTAATGTTATTTTATTGTTATTTTATATAGTTGTGTGGTAATTTGTTTATTATTATTATACTTATAATGGTTTACATATTACTTTTATATTTTTAGAAATATCTATATGAATATTAAATTTGTTGTTTTTTAATTTTTGATTAACTTTGTTTGTTGTTTTCTTTCATTATTGTTAATTTCTTAAAGAAGTTTATATCAATCAATTGCATTTTATTACTTCAAGTTTAATTCATTTCGTTATGTAGCATATTTTGCTTTATTTTTTTTGCTTTTACAGCAATACTTTAAAAATACATAATATTTGTTTTGTTTTTAATATAGATTAATGACTGCTAAAAAAAACATTTCTTTTCAAGACATGATTCTAAATATTTTATTCGTTTTTTTCTATTATAATTATAATAATTTGTGTTGCTTTCATTCAGAGAGGAAGAGTTTATCTGTCTATTTAGAAAGGAATTTAAAGGTTTTTATGGGGATTGGCAAAGACATTCATTTCTTTTTTTTCGTTTAACTAGTTGCTATTTTCAAATGCATTTTTCACATTTAGTGTTTTACAAGAAATACAAACAAATGCTATTATTTCCATTTTGAATTTACTTTTTCTTTTTGATTTTTTCAGGTATTAAAGAAGACATAAGGGATCAAGCAGAAGTTTCATTTGGTTCCATCCAACCTTCACTATCGTCATCACTGTCCGAGTCTTCGGATTCGGAAAGTTCTATTGCAACACGTCTAGCTAGAATGGAGGCCACATCATGAAGGCCAGTATTACGTTCGATTTCTTTCTGTTCGGATTTTTCCACTTTGCGAAGTGTTATTCCTGGAGAATTTGAGAAAAAGAGACAATATTATTTATAGTTCAAACTCTTTATAAAAAATCTATAAAAAGAGAAATTTTCTGAAAATTTTTCATAAAAAAGAGATTTTTTTCGAAAACTTTCTATAAAAAACAGAAAATTTCCGAAAATTTTCTATAAAAAAACAGAAATTTTCCGAAATTTTTCTATAAAAAACAGAAATTTTCCGAAATTTTTCTATAAAAAAGAGAAATTTTTCTATAAAAAAGAGAAGTTTTCCGAAAATTTTCTATAAAAAAAGAGATAATTTCCGAAAATTTTCTATAAAAAAGGGAACATTTCCGATTTTTTTATAAAAATTAGATTTTTTTCGACAGTTTTCTATAAAAAGCGAAATTTTCCGAAAATTTTCTTTGAAAAAGAAAAAATTCTCTATAAAAAGAGAAAATATTCTATAAAAAAGAGAAAATTTCTACAAAAAAAAGAAAATTTCTATAAAAAAAAAGAAAACTTTTCTTTAATTTCTGAAATAATTCCGAAAATTTTCTATAAAAAAGAGAATTTTTCCGAAAATTTTCTATAAAAAAGAGAAAATTTCCGAAAATGTTCTATAAAAAGAGAAAATTTTCTGAATTTTCTATAAAAATTAGATATTTTCGACAGTTTTCTATAAAAAAGCAAAATTTTCAAAAACTTTCTATGAAAAAGAAAAAATTTTCTATAAAAAGTGAAAATTTTCGAAAATATTCCATAAAAAAGAGAAAATTTCTATAAAAAGAGAAAATTTTTCTATAAAAAAAAGATAATTTCCGAAAATTTTCTATAAAAAAGATATAATTTCCGAATATGTTCTATAAAAAATCCGAAATTTTCTATAAAAAAGGTAAAATTTCTATTAAAAAGGGAAAATTTCCAAAATTTCCTATTAAAAACAGAAAATTTCCAAAAATTTTCTATAAAAAAAGAGAAAATTTCGGAAAATTTTGAATAAAAATAAAACTATTCTATAAAAAAGAGAAATTTTCGATAATTTTCCATAAAAAAAAGAAAGTTTCAAAAAATTTTCTATAAAAAACAGAGAGTATTGAAAATTTTCTTTTTTACATGTTAATAAATTCAAAACATCTAACATACCATCTCTTATGGCCTTCATTAAATCGGATCTAGTATCGTGGAATGGTGGTAATATTTTCTTAGGTTGTGGGTTTGGTCCACCCATCATTCCGTTCGATTGTATATCACCATTTGGCAATGATTTTGGCATAATTTGATGTGGTCCTTGATTAATAGGCGATGAACCGTTCTCATCCAATGGTGGTGGAGGAGGAGGTGGTGGTGGCGCCGCATTAGGTGGCGATAGCTTTGGTTCATGCTGCAAAAAATATGAAGAAAAACATTAGTAAATCAAAAAGTTAACTTGTTAAAATATGGCGAACTACTAAAGCCATTTTACTTACCTGATCCGGCACCGGTGGTGGTGGTGGCAAATCATTTAATGAATTCATTTGTTGCATACCACCACCCATAGTCATACTATTGAAACTATTTATGGTATTATTCAATTGTGCCATTACTAAGGCATTCGCATCCTGTACACTGCTCGGTGCCAATTGGGGAGAGCCAGCTCTCGATGTGCTATTGGTGCGAGCTAATAATTTCGCTGCAATATGACCACTACCGCCACCATTCAATTGAGCCAACATTTGTGATGGGGATGTTGTGTTAATCATACCATCAGGTATGGGAGGCGGTGGTGGCAGAGCATCCCGACTTGTTGACATACTGCGACCACGTGTAGGTGTATTAGCGCTCGATGCTGTTGGTGTACCACCGCCACTACCATTCGATGGTGGTGCCGGTGGTGGTTGTGAGGGTCGTGGTTTGGTGCGTGATGGTGTGCCGGGAGCATAAATCGGTTCTGGCGACATGGGACCTTGACCGGTCTGACCATACAAGGCGTGCGATTGATGATAGAGAGCATCGTCGTACATTTGTTGCTGCTGCTGTTGTTGCTGTTGATGCTGTAGATGTGACTGTTGTTGATGATGCTGCATGCCAGCCATACCCTGATGCTGTTGCATTTGCTGTGACGGATGCATGCCATTGGCAGCATATGCTGTTGTAGCATACTGACTGCCACCACCTTGGGCATTTGTCATCATATTACCAGCATTTTGTGGTGATAACGGTCCATAAACACCATCAATTTGTTCGGATTGATAACTGCGTCGCAATTCTATAGAATTGGGTCGTGCTGGTCGTGTCTCGTAAATGCCCATACCTTTAAGAAAATAAAGCAAATAGTAAAGAAATATATAAATCAATTTGTAAAAGCATTTTTTAACACAGCAAAAGAAAATATGAACATTTTTACAATAAAATAACAAAATACAAAAGAAATAAATACATAACACATTGATAAACATAAATTAAAGATTATTGTTTATGAAAAAAAAAGTTGAATAAAATTGTTAATAAAAGAATTTTATTTAACAAAACAATATGAATGTATAGAAGTTGTAATTTTAATGAATTGTATGTTTAATAATGTATAGAAGAAGAAAAAAACCTTAACATTTAGAAAACACTTTGATGTTGATTATTAGTTTGGTTTATTTTGACATGAACTGTACGACAGCAATATTTGTTTTAAAGCCAATTTTCTTTTTAGATTTTCTAAAGCTGCAATTTATTTTTTACAATTTAGTTATACTAATCAATAACAGCAGCACATAAGAGAAGTTTAGAAGAGTTTTAACTTTTTTCATATTTTTGATAACACAAGCGACGTACAGAGCACTTGAAGATATAGATAGATAGAGGAGGTGAATATAAGTGAAAGACAGTAATTTTAGAATTAGTCATGTAGGGTGTTTGTTCTTAAGAAAGAATATTGAATTAATCTTCTAAAGCTAAAATGGGATTTTTTTAAAAGCAAGCCAAAAGTATTAATGTTAAAACACAAAAGAAAATACATTTTTTTAAATTAGAAAAATATAAATAAAATAAAAACATCTATGGAAGTTGAGGTGATGTTAATGAGAGTATTTAAAAGGACCTAAAGCCTAATGTCTAACTTGCCTAGTTTACATATTAGAGGAATTATTCATGATTTATTATTAAAGTTATGTATTTTTATTGATTATTTTTTGTCTGAAACCTTTGCTCTACTTAACGAAAAATATTTTTTTTTAATTACAATATTAAAATGTATTATTCATATACCTACATATGTACTACATATGTATGTTTGTATGTAATAATATTTCAACTGTAATACTATACTTCTTTATCTACTATATTATTTTCTCTCTCACTCTTCGTTTACTGCATGATGAGTTGATGATGATGATGGTGACAAAAAAGGTCAATGTGTGTTATTTGACCTTTTGCTCCATTTTATGAGTAATAATTCGTTTATATTAAAAACATGAAAATCACATTTAGAAAAACATAGTTATTAAATGTTATTAGAAATTCTTTTTATTTAAAAAAATTTAATAAAAGGCATAATAAAACAAATCATGATTTATTGAACATTAGTGCGAACTTTCGAAATGTTTCTCATTTTAAAATTGTTTAAGTTTGATATTGAATGAAATGATTAAATATTTCTGAACATAAGTTGGAATATTCGAGTCTCTGCTCGGAATCGAATAGTCGACCACCAAACCGATGGAATAGAACACTATCATATATAACCTAATGGAGGCAAAAGCTTAACATTTTTGATTTTTGAGATGAAAAAAGTTTTTTTTTTTTCGAAAATGTTCCACTTATATAATCAAAATCATTTCAAGCTTGTATGATTTCAAGTGATTTGTGTTATTATTTAATTTTCTCATTTATCCTCTAAAAGATGTAATTTAAAACAATTACCTTTTATCATACATAAGAGAAAACTATTTATTATAAAGTAATCTGATAATTTAATGGACACACTTTTAAAACAATAAGTGATATTTTTATGAAAGTTGTTCATCATTATTTAATGACTATGATAGTTTGACTAAATTTTGTTGCCATAAGTAAATTGAAAGGTTAGAGACAAGGATAAAGACAAAGACTGTAGACATAGACTATTAACTTGACTATAGACAAGACGAGATTAGTCCAGATTATATACTAGAATTAAGACTTGACTATAGACTAGACTATAGTCTAGACTATACACTAGACTATAGACAGTAGACTATACTATAGACTAGACTATAGACTAAACTATAGACTAGACTAGACTATAGACTAAACTTAAAACTAAACTTAAGACTAAACTGTAGACTAGACTATGCAATAGACTATACTATAGACTAGACTAAACTATAGACTAAACTATAGACTAGACTATAGTTTAAACTATGGACTAGACTATAGACTAAACTTAATACTATACAATAGACTAGACTATAGATTAAACTATGGAATAGACTATAGACTAAACTTAAGACTTGACAATAGACTAGACTATAGACTAGACTATATACTAGACTATAAACTAGACAATAGACTATACTATAGATTATAGATTGTCTAGACTATAGATTAAACTTAAGACTGGACAATAGGCTAGACTATATACTAGACTATGGACGAAATTTTAGACTAAACTCAAGACTAGACATAGACTAGACTATACACTAAACCATATTACCGACTAGACTATAGACTATACTATAGACTACAGATAGTCTGGACTACAGACTGTTCTATAGATGACTAGACAATAGACTAGACTATACACTAGACAATAGACTAGATTACAGACTGGACAATAGACTATTCTATAGACTATAGATTAGACTACAAACTATAGTTTAGACTATCGACTAGATATATGCTAAACTATAGACTATAGATTACACTATAGACCAAACTTAAGACTAGACTGTAGACAAGACTATACAATAGACTAGACTATATACTAGACTATAGATAGTGTAGACTATAGACTAAACTTAAGACTAGACAATAGACTAGACTATAGTCTAAACTTAAGACCAGACGATAGACTAGGCTATACACTAGACAATAGGCTAGACTACAGACTAGACTATAGACTAGACAATAGACTATAGATACTCTAGGCTACAGACTAAACTATAGACTAGACAAAAGACTAGATTATACACTAGACAATAGACTAGACTACAGACTATAGTTTAAACTGTATACTAAACTATAGACTATAGATAAGACTATAGACTAGACTATAGTTTAGACTGACTATAGACTAGACTATAGACTAGACTATAGACTAGACTATAGACTGGACTATAGACTAGACTATAGACTAGACTATAGACTAGACTATAGACTAGACTATAGACTAGACTATAGACTAGACTATAGACTAGACTATAGACTAGACTATAGACTAGACCATAGACTAGACTATAGACTAGACTATAGACTAGACTATAGACTAGACTATAGACTAAACTATAGACTAGACTATAGACTAGACTATAGACTAGACTATAGACTAGACTATAGACTAGACTATAGACTAGACTATAGACTAGACTATAGACTAGACTATAGACTAGACTATAGACTAGACTAGAGACTAGACTATAGACTAGACTATAGACTAGACTATAGACTAGACTATAGACTAGACTATAGACTAGACTATAGACTAGACTATAGACTAGACTATAGACTAGACTATAGACTAGACTATAGACTAGACTATAGACTAGACTATAGACTAGACTATAGACTAGACTATAGACTAGACTATAGACTAGAATATAGACTAGACTATAGACTAGACTATAGACTAGACATAGACTAGACTATAGACTAGACTATAGACTAGACCATAGACTAGACTATAGACTAGACTATAGACTAGACTATAGACTAGACTATAGACTAGACTATAGACTAGACTATAGACTAGACTATAGACTAGACTATAGACTAGACTATAGACTAGACTATAGACTAGACTATAGACTAGACTATAGACTAGACTATAGACTAGACTATAGACTAGACTATAGACTAGACTATAGACTAGACTATAGACTAGACTATAGACTAGACTATAGACTAGACTATAGACTAGACTATAGACTAGACTATAGACTAGACTATAGACTAGACTATAGACTAGACTATAGACTAGACTATAGACTAGACTATAGACTAGACTATAGACTAGACTATAGACTAGACTATAGACTAGACCATAGACTAGACCATAGACTAGACTATAGACTAGACTATAGACTAGACTATAGACTAGACTATAGACTAGACTATAGACTAGACTATAGACTAGACTATAGACTAGACTATAGACTAGACTATAGACTAGACTATAGACTAGACTATAGACTAGACTATAGACTAGACTACAGACTAGACTTTAGACTAGACTATAGACTAGACTATAGACTAGACTATAGACTAGACTATAGACTAGACTGTAGACTAGACCATAGACTAGACTATAGACTAGACTATAGACTAGACCATAGACTAGACTATAGACTAGACTATAGACTAGACTATAGACTAGACTATAAACTAGACTATAGACTAGACTATAGACTAGACTATAGACTAGACTATAGACTAGACTATAGACTAGACTATAGACTAGACTATAGACTAGACCATAGACTAGACTATAGACTAGACTATAGACTAGACCATAGACTAGACTATAGACTAGACTATAGACTAGACTATAGACTAGACTATAGACTAGACTAGAGGCTAGACTATAGACTAGACTATAGACTAGACTATAGACTAGACTATAGACTAGACTATAGACTAGACTATAGACTAGACTACAGACTAGACTATAGACTAGACTATAGACTAGACTATAGACTAGACTATAGACTAGACTATAGACTAGACTATAGACTAGACTGTAGACTAGACTATAGACTAGACTGTAGACTAGACTATACTATAGGCTCTCGCCATCTCGTTCAGAGGCAAAAGGCATTCAGGGATAAGTTTTTATATTGAATACACACCAATCAGACATTTTATAACAGCTTGAATATCAGTATTGATTCTCATACTCGACAAATTGAGAAAAAATTATTTGATATAAAAAATCAATTGGCACGTTTTATAGGGAGGAAAAGTTAAGATTTATTAGAAAGAATTTAAATTATTGTTTAATAGTTTGCTATATTTAGAAATTCAAACAAATAAATTGTCATAATTAAAATAGATTGATTGTTTGAGAGAAAGCTCTATCTATTAAAATATATGAAGAATTTCAACTAGATTCGTAAGAAAGAAAAGAAACACTATTCCAAGAGATTTTAAAATTGTAAAGTTAATAACAATAACATTTAATAACTCTTAAAAAACAATTGTAAATATTGTAATACAAGGTCAAGTTTATATGCATAGAAAAGTAATAAATTATTGAATTGAATTAAAAAAAAGCTAAAAAAATAATGTTAAAAGTCACATCAATTATAACAAAATACTAAATTATAACAAATACAAAATGTATACAAATAAAAAAAGTAAATATATTATATAATTTATGACAAAACGGATAGGAATAGAGTGGAAGAAATAGAAAGGGGGAGGGGGGTAAAAACAACAAGTGGTGTTTGTGGTGCTGCTATGAAAAGTGATAAATTAAACAGATACAAACAGAGAGACAGAGAGTAAGAGAGAAATGTATGGGGGTTTGGAAGGGGGAAGGAGAGTATCAGAAGTATAGCTGTATATAATAAAACATATACATATAATATATTTAAATACATAAAAACTGTATGTATATATATAAATGTTTTAAGATATGTTGTTTATATTGTTGTTGATTTAAACAATATTTAATAACATTTAATTTTTTTTGAAAACTTAATTTAAATATGAGTTTAATTTTGTTTAGTTTATTGTTGTTTTTATTTGTTAAAAGGATAGTGGTAGTAGAAGAAGAAACAAATGCTCTCTGACCTGCAATGGCAACAGCAGTTTGCTTCGCCAGATTACTGTTATTTTCCAAATGTGAAAGCATATTATAAGGTTTAACATTGCCTGGAAAATATACAGACGACACATAATAATGATAATGACGACGATAAATGAATGTTATGATTAAGTAAATGAAACATTTTTTTGTAAATAAAATTCAACGAAATAAAAAAAAAACTATATTATTAACCTAATTTGTGATAGAAAATGATTAATGCAAAATATTGAAAGAAAGAAGATTTTAACTTTAAACTATAACATTTAGCAAATGAAACTAATGTCTTGTTAATAATGATTTTTGCTATTCTATATGATTTGCGAGTTAAACTCGTAGAGTGACTAATGTTGTTGTAGTGGCAATTATTGCTGGCACAGTGGGTTCTTAAATGATAGAAAATTGTAATGTAATTTAAAAACATCATGCTCTGAAGTTTATTAAGAGGAAACATAAAAGCAAAAACCTTGCAAGGCATGTTAAGAGATAAGAAAACTCGGTGAATAAACTGTTCTTTAGAAGTTATTCCTAAAAAATTGGGAACCTAGAATTCTTCTGTAATGTTGCATAAAAGTTTGAGTAGCTTCAAACTGTTCTAGAGAAGTTTGAGCAACCTTTAGATGTTCTGTAGATGTTTGAGAAAACTCAAATGTTTCTGTAGATGATGGAGGAACCTCAAAGTGTTATATGGAAGTTTGTTTGAGGAAGCTCAAATTGTTCTGTAGAAGTTTTAGGAAACTCAAAATTGTTCTATAGAAGTTTTAGGACATTCAAATTGTTCTAAAAAAGGTGGAGGAGCCTCAAATTGTTCTATTAGAAGTTTGAAGAAACTCAAATTATTCTGTAGAAGTTTGAGGAAACTCAAATTGTTCAATAGTTGGTGGAGGAATCTAAAATTGTTCTACTAAAACTGTTCTTTAGAAGTTTAAGAAATCTCGAACTGTTCTATAAAAGTTTGACAGACCTCAAATTGTTCTATAGAAGTATGAGCATCCTCAAATTATTATGTAGAAGTTTGAGGAAACTCAAATTGTTCTATAGAAGTTTGAAGAAACTCGAATTATTCTGTAGAAGTTTGAGAAACCCCAAACTGTTCTACGGAAGTTTATGATACTACGAAATGTGCTATAAAACTTTGACAAACCTCAAACTGTTCCATAGAAGTTTGAGGAACCTCAAATTGTTCTATATATAAGTTTAAGAAACTTCAAACTGTTCTATAGAAGTTTGAAAAATCTAAAACTGTTTTATAGAAGTTTGACAAACCTCAAATTGTTCTAAAGAAGTTTGAGAAACCTTAAACTGTTCGATAAAAGTTTAAAGAAGCAAAAATTGTGCTATAGAAGTTTAAGGAACCTTAATCAAAGTCACACCCCACACTCTACTATATAAGAGTGAGGAACATAATACCTTTCAAAAGAAGTTTGAAGAAGCACAACCTGTTCTACAAATTTATACAAGTTTGAGGTACTGCAAAGTTTAAGGATAAATATGAAAAGGTAATAAGAAAACTATTAGAAAGTTCAAGTAGTGATCTGATTTGGAAAAGTTTTTCGAATGTTCTGAATGTGCACGCAAATAACTTCAAACTGATACTTAAACATTCACATCCCAGGAGTTGTAAAGTAGAAAAATTGTACTTAGCTTAAGAGGACATTCTTTTTTAGAGAAAATGTATACAAAATAGTAGAAGTTTCTTTCTAAAGTTTAAGACTTACACTAATATATTGCACGTCCTTTTGGCGAATGGATTTAAGAAAAAATCGGATGACTTTGTTGAAATTGAGTCAGTTGCAATGGGAGTATATAAAGGTATTGAGGAAAAGGGTTAAAAGTATAGTTTTACGTTGAATGTCTTCGTATTAAAGTGTAAGTGATTGCAAGCAATATCTAATATAATTGAATGGCCACATATTCGTACAATAACTCTTTGAAGCTCTCGAAAAATCTAAAAATGTTAAACAAAGATATTTCACAGATTTTTGCAAATTTATAAGTACATCAGTAACTCATAAGTATTGACAACAATAATAAATTTCATTATCTTTAGAACCCACTGTAGTAAATTAGCTAAAAGCTTAGAAAATGATTCATTCATTGTTGGTTGAAAATAAAATAATGACGCAGCAATGTTTTTGTGAACTTTGTAGTAAACTAAAACAAAAGTAAATAATAGAAAAGAATCCATGTTACTCTATTAATGAAGTTAAGTTAAAGTAAAAAGTAAAAACATTTTAAAACAATTTCACATAATTAATTATAAACTAGAACACTAATTTTTATTTTGGCGTATTTTGAATTTGCTTGGCATTTAGCTTTATTTTGCTTTTGTTATTCAAAAAAAAATTGGCTTGAAATTATGATTTCGCTTTGAAACTCTGTCGTGCCGTTGTCGTACCTACATGTTAAATCATCAAAGTTGTTTGTGCTGATCACATTTGGTCTAAGACGACTTAATTGTATACCATCATAACCACCACCATTACCACCTAAATGTTGTTGCTGTTGTTGTTCTTGTAGTTGATGTTGTTGTATTAGTTGATATTGTTGCTGATGGTATTGATGTTGTTGTTGTAGCTGTTGTGCTGTTGTCGTACCACTCTCACTATCTGTGACAGTGTGTATTTCAACAAGTTGTGCTAAATATTGAAAATCAATAATTGGTTGGTTGGTTTGGTTGGCAATTTTTTTTTTCTTGTAAAATTGAAGTATGAAATTAGTACTTGATGAAAATGTGGAGTGGAAAAGGAGAAAGAAAAACAACATTACAGACGGACATGATGAAAAAGGGAAAGTTTTGAATGTGTGTTTTTCTTATTTTCGAATTTCGCAAAAAAAAACTATAAATTATTTCATTTTGAGTTTGAATAGATCGTACTCTTAGACATGTGACAGATAGTTAACGGAATGATGAATACATAGTAAATTATATCATTTATAATAATCTATGTGATGTTTAACAAATATTTGGATATATTTATCTCCAAATAATGTTAGCTTAGGCGGAAGTAGTGTTTAAAATCTTGTATTCTAAATGAATTTGAACAAAAAATAGACATATTTCCAAATTCATTGAATTTAACAATTGTATGAAATTGTAAGAAGACTGTTGTATAGTTTGAGGAACCTCAAACTGTTCTATAGAAGTTTGAGAAACTTCAAACTGTTCTATCGAAGTTTGAGGAACCTCATACTGTTCTATCGAAATTTGGGAAACCTCAAACCGTTCTATCGAAGTTTGGGGAACCTAAAACTGTTCTATTGAAGTTTAAGGCAGCTTAAAGTGATATACATTTATAGAAGTTTGAGTAACCTCAAACTGATCTATAAGAAGATTGAGGAAACTCAAACTAACGAAGTTTAAGGATCCTTGAAATGTTCTATTGATTAACCTCAAACTGTTCTATAGAACTTTAAGGAACCTTAAACTGTTCTATCGAAGTTTAAGGAATCTCAAACTGTTCTATCGAAGTGTGAGAAACCTAAAACTTTGAAGTTTGAAGAATCTCAAAATGTTCTATCGCAGTTTTAGGAATCTCAAACTGTTCTATAGAAGAAGTACTTCTGTGCTATGAAAGTTTGAGGAACCTTAATTCGTTCAATAGAAGTTTGATTAATCTAAAACTATACTGTAAGTAACCACTTTTTATATTGAAATTATTGAAGAAAATACTGAGGAAAACCTGTAATTCTTCAAATCGATATTGATTAAGAATAAAGTATGGAACCATAGATTCACTCTTTGAAAGAATATCCGTGTTCTTTTAACCCAAATAGTTTGGATTTTATAACAAATTATAAATTGTAAAAAAATACAAAAAAAAATATTTGAGTTAATATAAATAATTATAATCATATCTCTACAACCCATCACCTATACAAAATTATAAAATTGTAATGTATAGAAATTAGAAAAAAACTAAAATACTTACTACCACCATAGCCGGCTTCCTCGTTGACCACAGAATTTGGTGTTCGATAAATAACATTATTTGGCATTAAAGTTTCACCATGTCCAATAGCAATTTGTCGTTGTTTCTCTCGTGTATTATGGGGTGTACGCACTCGTTTCTTATGTCCACGACCACTAGCACCGCCATCCTGTCGTGGTCGATGCATTTTCTTGCCTTTATCGTGCATAACACGTTCCGTATCCTTAAGCATCTCCTGACGCCACAATTCAAAGAAATAATTAGGATCTGTATAGAATTTAAGACCATCTTTACCATCATCCCGATAAACGTTCAGTTTATCTAGAGGTGGTGGTTTATCACATTGTGCATATGTTTCCAGCATTGGCGCTGGCATAGTGGCTCGTGAAAATATTTGTTGATCGAAATTTTTGGCAGATTTAAAAGCTTTCTTTCGTGTGATGTCCGTTAGGGGCACTTCTTCGACGGTACTATCCAATTGTGTTACCTTAATGGCTAGACGATCAATGCGTGCCTGCAGTGAATTGGCACGATCACCAATATTTCCCACATCTCGTGCCAATTCACCGAATACATCTTCGGCATGTTTTGACAACGATGACAATTGTCTTATGATATTTGTTAGTGTTGTGTTTGTGACTGTTTCCAATTCTACCGATTGTAATTCATCCTGTTGATAGACAGAACGGGCCACATGCACCGGCTCAATTGAACGTTTGGGCAGTGGCATTGTGCTGTTGAAATCTCAATATTGATTAGTTTGCAACAAAACTGCTCAGCGTTTAAACATTAAAAGCTAAAAATAAATTGAGAGAAAAGAGGATTTATTAATAAAATTGATTTTTCCTTAAAATTTTAAAATAAAAATTTATATTATACATCTGTATGTATATTTTAGATAACAGCCGTCAGCATTAGTCATTTATATGTTTGTTCCAACTGTGATATCTTTCGAAAACAAATATTAATCAGTAGCTAGAAAGTGACGAAAATTTTGATATTTTATTGTTGTTTATAAAAAAACAATGTTTGCCATTGAAAGTGGGTTCTATTGAATGAGAAAAAATGAATAAATGACGCGAGGTCATTAAAAACTATAGAAACTATTTTGTATAAAAAACTGACAATAATAAACTAAAGACTAATAACAGTCTCTTAAATTGCTATAAAGTATTTTATAAGTGCTTAATCAGTATACAATACAAAAAACGTTTTTAATCATTTTGAAATTGTATTGAAATTTTGTAAAATTTGAATTTTTTTGTGAAATTTTAAAATATTTTTGTTGATGGATATTTCCATTAATTAACTGAACTAGAACTGAACTGGAACTGAACTAGAACTGAACTGGAACTGAAACTGGAACTGAACTGGAACTGAACTAGAACTGAACTAGGACTGAACTAGAACTGAACTAGAACTGAAACTAGAACTGAACTAGAACTGAACTAGAACTGAACTAGAACTGAACTAGAACTGAACTAGAACTGACTAACTAGAACTGAACTAGAACTGAACTAGAACTGAACTAGAAATGAACTATAACTGAACTAGAACTGAACTAGAACTGAACTAGAACTGAACTGAACTGAACTAGAAACTGAACTGAATGAACTAGAACTGAACTAGAACTGAACTAGAACTGACTAGAACTGAAACTAGAACTGAACTAGAACTGAACTAGAACTGAACTAGAACTGAACTAGAACTGCAACTAGAACTGAAACTAGAACTGAACTAGAACTGAAACTAGAACGGAACTAGAACTGAACTAGAACGGAACTAGAACTGAAACTAGAACTGACTAGAAACTGAACTAGAACTGAAAATAGAACTGAACGAGAACTGAACTAGAACTGAACTAGACTGAACTAGAACAGAACTAGAACCTGAACTAGGAACGGGAAACTAGAACTGAACGAGAACTGAACTAGAACTGAAACTAGACTGAACTAGAACTGAACTAAACTGAACTAAGAACTGAACCTAGAACTGAACTAGAACTGAAACTAGAACTGAACTAGAACTGAAGCTAGAACTGAACTAGAAAACTGAACTAGAACGGAACTAGAACTGAACTAGAACTGAACTAGAACTGAACTAGAACTGAACTGAAACTGAACTAGAACTGAAACTAGAACTGAACTAGAACTGAACTAGAACTGAACTAGAACTGAACTAGAACTGAACTAGAACTGAACTAGAACTTGAACTAGAACTGAAACTAGAACTGAACTAGAACTGACTAGAACTGAACTAGAACTGAACTAGAACTGAACTAGACTGAACTAGAACTGACTAGAACTGAACTAGAACTGAACTAGAACTGAACTAGAACTGAACTAGAACTGAACTAGAACTGAACTAGAACTGAACTAGAACTGACTAGAACTGAACTAGACTGAACTAGAACTGAACTAGAACTGACTAGAACTGAACTAGAACTGAACAGAACTGAACTAGAACTGAACTAGACTGAACTAGAACTGAACTAGAACTGAACTAGAACTGAACTAGAACTGAACTAGAACTGAACTAGAACTGAACTAGAACTGAACTAGAACTGAACTAGAACTGAACTAGAACTGAACTAGACTGAACTAGAACTGAACTAGAAACTGAACTAGAACTGAACTAGACTGAACTAGAACTGAAACTAGAACTGAACTAGAACTGAACTAGAACTGAACTAGAACTGAACTAGAAACTGAACTAGAAACTGAACTGAACTAGAACTGAACTAGAACTGAACTAGAACTGAACTAGAACTGAACTAGAACTGAACTAGAACTGAACTAGAACTGAACTAGAACTGAACTAGAACTGAACTAGAACTGAACTAGAACTGAACTAGAACTGAACTAGAACTAACTAGAACTGAACTAGAACTGAACTAGAACTGAACTAGAACTGAACTAGAACTGAACTAGAACTGAACTAGAACTGAACTAGATCTGAGTCCAAACTGAACTAGAAGGATTACAACTAATTTAGTATCCTTTAAGAAGAACATAATAGCTAAAATTCTTTACGAAAGTAAACTATTAAATTTTGCAAAATGAAGAAAAAATTTTAAAAAAAAAACATAATAATAATTTGTGCTCCAAAACTAGTAAAAGAATGTAAATAAAGAAAACCTAAAATAAACCTTTTAAACAATTAACACCATATTGTTGACATGCATACAAGGAATTAGACAAATTAACACGAAAATCACCAGTGATTAAACCACACTCTATGGCCATAAAAAGTAGGCATAACAATAATAACAAATATTTATTTATTTATATGTCGTAAAAACCAACAGGAAAACAAAACATATAAAAAATCACACCCAAATGGTAAGAAAAAGACAAAAGAGCTAAAAAATTATAGATATTAAAACGACTGACTAGTAAAGAAAATTTTGTAGACAAAAAAAATACAAACAATTTCTTAGCATTTTTATCTGCACCCAATTTGTAAGCATATGGTGGTGGTGTGGGGTAAAAATATTGAAATAAAATTAAAATATTAAAATATTATGCCGGTTGTTTTGTTAGTTTTTTCAAGAATTCTTCCGCAAATACTTGTCGTGTTGGAATTCCATAAATAAAAACTATAAAGAAATGATTTAGCAAATGATATTGTCCACAAAGAATTTTAAATTTAGATTTCATTAATAATTTTGTGATTTTATTAAGTGGAAATGAAGTAAGAAATTCAATAAAAGTTATCAAGTCAATTGGCGGCTATTATACTTAAGAAATATGAATGTTTTGATAAGAAGTTTTTTTATATTAAGAAATAACCCTAAAAAACGATAACGTTTTAATCATAACTATATAGAAAACAAAAAGAAATTGACCAAACAAACAATAAAAATTTAACTTAGGTTAAAAATAAAAAAAAAATAATATGAAAAGAAATAAAATAAAATGTTGAAATGTATATTCATGCTAAAAGTGTATTGGGAGGAATATTAGCTTTGCCTCAAATTAGTTAGACACCTCAATAAGGTTTTGTGATTTACAACAAGCATTTTAGTATCATATTTCTGTAAAATTCAATGCTTGGTTGGTAGGTGGTTCGTTGGGTTTACCATCTCTATTACTTTCATTTATATATTTATTTTACGTTTAAATTATTTTTGCATTAAATTTGTTTGTGAAATGTAAACTAATTCAAATATTTAGTTTATTTTGTGTCAGGGGTGTTTAAAGTTGAGTAAACACCTTCTGACCTGTTGGTAAAAGTGTTATAAAGATGACACAGGGGAGTGATTTAAACAAAAATATACCTACGGTTTATTATAGCAGAAGTGTTTTTAACAAGAGCAGTTATTTTAAATTCAAGATACTTTTTATGGTAAAAAATTAGTAAATGTCATCAAGTTTAAACTAAAGATTTTAAATCTTTGTATTGTTTCTATAAAATAAGTTCTTGTACTTTTTAAACTTGATCTATAATTTAGAATATAGTTATTTAAACTTCTCTTGCACATTTACAAGCCGTGATTGACAATTTTCTTCTAAATTTCTCATATTTTTGTTCTTTAGATCTATAAAACAGGATTTTCATTTTTACTAGATTAATTTTGCTAATTTTGTATTTTATGAATTTAGCCGATTTTTTTAGTATGCAGTTTAATTAACGCATGTTTTTGTAATACCCTGTATAATTATCTCATTATTGCTGAACATGAGATGAGGTCAAACACTAATTAAGTATTGTGTTTAGAATAATAATAAATGACATTTTCTATTATGACCTCATCACACGAGATGCTACTTTTATTTATAGAAATTTGTAATAATTTGCAATGGGAAAATAGTTAAACAAAATACATTTAAATTTAATAAAATTACATTTTTAACTTTTTTACTGGAAGATAGATAGATAGATAGATAGATAGATAGATAAGATAGATAGATAGGAAAGATAGATAGATAGATAGATAGATAGAAATAGATAGATAGATAGGATAGATAGATAGATAGATAGATAGATAGATAGATAGATAGATAGATAGATAGATAGATAGATAGATAGATAGATAGATAGATAGATAGATAGATAGATAGATAGATAGATAGATAGATAGTAGATAGATAGATAGATAGATAGATAGATAGATAGATAGATAGATAGATAGATAGATAGATAGATAGATAGATAGATAGATAGATAGATAGAAGATAGATAGATAGATAGATAGATAGATAGATAGATAGATAGATAGATAGATAGATAGATAGATAGATAGATAGATAGATAGATAGATAGATAGATAGATAGATAGATAGATAGATAGATAGATAGATAGATAGATAGATAGATAGATAGATAGATAGATAGATAGATAGATAGATAGAGATAGATATAGATAGATAGATAGATAGATAGATAGATAGATAGATAGAGATAGATAGATAGATAGATAGATAGATAGATAGATAGATAGATAGATAGATAGATAGATAGATAGATAGATAGATAGATAGATAGATAGATAGATAGATAGATAGATAGATAGATAGATAGATAGAAGATAGATAGATAGATAGTAGATAGATAGATGATAGATAGATAGATAGCTAGCATATATAGATAGAGATAGAATAGATAGATAGCTAGATAGATAGATAGATAGATAGATAGATAGATATAGATAGATAGATAGATAGATAGATAGATGATAGATAGATAGATAGATAGATAGATAGATAGAAGATAGATAGATAGATAGATAGATAGATAGATAGATAGATAGATAGATAGATAGCTAGATAGATAGATAGATAGATAGATAG